ACATGGTGAAACCCCGTCTCTACTAAAAATACAAAAAATTAGCTGGACATGGTGATGTGTGCCTGTAATCCCAGCTACTCAGGAGGCTGAGACAGGAGAATTGCCTGAACCCAGGAGGCAGAGGTTACGGTGAGCCGAGATCACACCATTGCACTCCAGCCTGGGTAACAAGAGCAAAACTCTGTCTCAAAAAAAAAAAAAAAATAATAATAATAAAGAAAATATTTTCTTCAAATCCTTATTCTGTAAGCTTTTTTCTACTAAATAAAAACATGTTTTAAACTTTTCTGTTAAAAACTAAGATATAAACACACACATTGGCCTGGGCCTCCTTAGGGTCAGGATCGTCCATATCACTGTCTTCCACCTCCACACCTTGTCCCACTGTAAGGTCTTCACAGGCAATAACATGTATAGAGCTGACATCTCCTATGATAACAATGCCTTCTTCTGAAATATTTCCTGAAGGACCTGCCTGAGGCTGTTTACAGTTAGTGCTTTACTTTTTAAATGTAAGTAGGAATACTCTGTAAGATAATGATAAATTGCATATTAACAGCAAATACATAACAGAATAACATAGGTGTTTAATATCATTCTCAAGTATTTTGTACTGTACATAATTCTATGTGCTGTACTCTTATAAGACTGGTAACACAGTAAGTGTGTTTACATAAGCATTACCACAGGTGAGTAATGTGTTGTGCTACGACATCACCACAGCTAAGATGTCACTAGGTGATAGGAATTTTTCAGCTCCATTATACTCATATGGGACCGCCATCATATAAGCAGTGCATTCCTGACCCAAACATTGTTATGAGGTCTGTGACTGTATTTTCCTTCTTTAACTCTAATGTGTCAATCCCCCTTTTCTTCAGAAAAAAAAGAAATCGTTACTTGCTGTAATCTGTGTTCACTTTGAATATCCATCTCCCAGTTGTCCACAGGGGCAAGGGTCTGGTTTCTAGGCTCCCAGTCCTTCCAGAAACCTTTCACCTGACTGGATTCCCCAAGGACACCAGTCAATGCCCCAGAAATACCCCAGATTGCTGTCACTTACACATCAAGCTTCTTCAATATATTTTAGGTGAAGGCCATCTAGTCTTGGTGATTTACCTGTAACTAGTCTGCAGATTAGGTCTGGAATATCCTCAGCACTTGCCACTTCTTGATCTATTACCTCCAATGTGTGTATTCCTTGAAAAAGTCTCGTTGTAGGAATATTACTCAGCAAAAACAGAAGCAAAGCAGAAGCAAAGAATTCATTTACATTCTGTTTTATCTCTTTTTATCTCCCAGTACATGTTTGGTATGATGAAAGCTGAGTAGTTCCACAACCTTTATTTCACAGTATTTAAGAGACTTTCATTATTATTTTGGAAATCCATTGAAAGGATTTTTTTTTTCTTAACAAATTCACTTTTGGCTACCGCATTTCTAGTATGCCTGGGATCTGTCACCCTTCATGAGGTCAATTTAATAAACTGACCCTTCAAATTTTCCTTATTTATTACATGTATGCAAGTAAGCTTTCTTTTTCTTTTCTTTACTTTTCCTATGTGTTTTCCTTATGTGTTTAGTGTTTTACAGAACTTGAGTACAAGAACTGATTTTCTTATCAACATTTGGGTTCCCATAAGGTATTTCATATGTTCCCCACTTTCCTATGGATAAATTAAGTATTTCTTTTCATTTCTTCTTTAACATATCAGCACTAAATTCCCTTTTAGAGACTGATTATACTCTTGATGTCTTTCTTTGTAGTCCCCTCTTCTATTAGAATACTTAATTGAATTGAAATACATATCATTTATCATTACACGGTGCAATCTGTGTTACATCTGTTAGGCACTCTAAACATTTCCTGAAAGAATGTGTGATACCAACAGCTAACAATAATGGAGCATTTGGTAAGTGTCAGGCCCCATTCTAAGCATTTTAAATGCATTGTGTCACTAGATGTCAGGCACCAGACGGTAAACTTCATTGGCAAGGAGTTTGCACATGTATCCCTAGCATCTAGAGCAGAGCAGGTACATACTAGGCAATCACTAAATATTTGCTACAAGAATAAATTTTAAAAACTGCATGAGGTAGGTACATTATTCATGCTTTACACATAAGAAAATTAAAGCACAGAGAAGTTCAATCATTTCTTGAAGTCCCACAGTTAGTATATGTGAGACAACACTTGAATCCAAAGCCCACATACTTAACCAAGACTTATTACTAGTAAGCTCGAAACTTAATCACATTATTGCAAATGAAATTAATCCCATTAATAAATACTATGCAATGACACAAGTAAATATTGTAAGCAATCATTTTCCAAGAAAAGATTTGCAAATGATGAGCCCTTAAAAGTAATCAATAGGCAGATATCTGTACATTTCTTATTCCTAGCTTTGCAAGTAAAAATATGATTTCTCTTTAACCAATGTCTTCTGCTACATTTGTACACTAGTCAATGAGGATTTCAGGACTTTGGATAAGTGGGTGCTTTTTTTGTTTCCAGAGTAGTTCTGAATTTTTTTAAGTCATCTGTTTTGTCAATTCTTTTTAAAATAAGAATAGCACTAATGAGATATTCATGTATTATCTCCCTTGTTAATTGTCTACAGAGCTTATGAGGAGAGTGTTTATAAAATAGGAGACTCACATATTTCTCACACATCTCTCTTACTGTTACTTGGCTTTTCTGAAACACTACCATTAGGACATCATCCTTCAGGGTTTTGATTATGTGTACCTTTAATGACTCATTAGCAAAAATAATGTATCTCTTTTAAAAGGGTAGTCCTTTAAAACCATTCTTAGTTTTCACCTTAAATCTTTATCAGCCCTCACCTTAGTGAGAACTAAGTGATATTTACCAAAGAGCAAAGCCTTTTGGGCATGGTTCATAATGGTCCCTCAAGCTATGGGTTGAACAGTAAAAAGAGGTACAGAAATCAGAAGTAGGTAAACAATAAAGAAGTAGGTAAACACCAAAAAGGAAGGAAGGGAAGAAGTGAGGAAGGAAAGAATTTGAAAAACACTTGACTTTGAACTCTGCTATTGACCTTGGAAAAGTCCATTTTTGGAAGCCTCAGTTGCTTCACCTGTGAAATGGGGATGATAAAGATACAATTTCCTCAGACACTTTAATAGTAGATTTCGATGTGCCATATAAACTATCCAGTATGATACAACACGATATGTTTATTTACTTGATATTATTTGCCTATAATCAGCCCCCTTTATGCATTATGTACTATAAACGTTCACCTTACGAAGACTGTCAATAGCTTCAGAGTGTAGCCTCATGAATTGTCTGTCTTCTTTGGTCTGGAAGCATTTCCATTATTTTTAACCCAAGGAACCAATTCACATTTTTAACAAGTTTGTGTGCCTACAAGCTCAGAAAGCTTACTGTGTGCTCTCAGGACTAGAGTTCTAGAAACCTTTGTTTAAACAAGGAAGCCTCTTTTAAGTCCTGTTTCAGTCTGGTGCCTTTGGTAGAGGTGGAAACTCAAATTGAAAACAGATAGATGTTTTACATTTAAATGGGTTTAACATAAATGTGCATTAAACCATTTCATGGGCGATTGCACAAATATCTTTTGCAAACTTGGTGCACGTGAGCACATATACAGTAACCATTAATGTCTTCTAGAGAAATAAGGTGAAGATCCAAAATTTTAAACAGCTAGCTCAAGTTCCTCTCATTCGAAAGAAAATGTAATGGCTTTAAGGGAATTGCTCTAATAATATCATGGCATCTGCAATGGCTGGCCAGAGAAGAGCAGAACAGAGTGTATGTCACCGCAAGTCAATTTAACAAGAAATAAGCTTCCCCCTGGAGAATATAAATTCCCTTGCCTCCCACAAAGAAAATTGAATTTTGGAGGTCACACCTTGGGTAGGTTACCAGAGAGAGAAGCTTAACATTCTCTTTGTCATATGCTCTGGGAGGTCAATGCTGTTCTTCCAGTAAGTCACTACAAAAGACCCTCTTCCAGCCCCTCCAATTCTCTCCCCCCACGCCATGATAACAAGTCTTTGGAGTCCTCTAGGAAACGGGATGTAATTATGACCCTCGAAAATGCCAAGGACCACACCAAAGGCAATCATGCTCAAACACCAAGTTTTGAACACTGCAGTGAGGAGCAGAGTAGATAATGGGGCAGGGAAGGGGATTGGAGGAGGGCAGAAACGGTGAGGCTATGGTGGGGGTCAGAGTGAGTCAGACCGTCAGATAGTGAGCTTTAGGTTGTAACTGAATGCTTAGCCAAATGTGAATAAATTGAACTGCTGTTACCAAAGAGAAAAACAGGTCGCTAAGTCAAGCCCAGGCCAAGTCCCAACTCTGTGGGTGGATAGTCTCTTCCCCGGGTCGTCGGGGTGGGTCATTGAAAGGCCTAGCGTGGTCTTGCAGCGGCGGGGAGGTACCCCCAGAGCACGGCACCTCCCTCAGAGGCTCCGGGTGGGTGCAGCCGAGCCACCGCCCCCCGCCCCGCAGCAACATGTGGGGTGCTGCTAGTCCACCGCCCAGCAACTCCCTCCAGCTGGAGTTCCTGGTGGACGCACGCTGGGCCGTGGGAAGGTGGTGAATTACTCCTGGGAAAGGTTCCTCGAGCCTTGAACTTGGCAGCTCCTGACCTTTCCATCCCACCCTCCGCGAGCCAGCCCAACACACACGAGCAGAACCGCCCCTCTGGACCCGTCCAGGCTGCGCGTGGGGCTCTCTGATCACTCGGAGCAAAACGCCGGAGGCCGGGACCCCAGTTCCTCTGGCCGCAGGGGGCTGCCCTAGCACTGGGTAGTTCCAGCGACTCAGAGCACTCCCTGGCTTGGCCAGGCCCCGCCTGAGCCGGAGCCGCTGGCACCAACCCCCTGTTCTTTTGTGCTCTCCCGGGAAGCCCGCCTCTACTCACCCGGGCTGCGCGCGGATTCCGGCCGCCAGCTGCAGCCCGCTGCCCCATCCCACGAACACTGCGGCGCCCCCAGAGTGTGCAATGCGGAGCCCCGCCAGCGCGCGGCCGGAGCCAGGGAGCTCAGGGAGGGAGCGAGGAGCGGGGAGCGGGAGAGAGGCGGGGGGCGGCGGGGGGCGCGAGCGCCACTCCCACTCGCGCCGGGCACTGGCCACCTCCTGCAGCCGCGGCCGGCCTGGGCTCGAGGGCCGCGGGACCAATCAGCGCGCGCGGGGGAAGCGGAGCCCTCCGCGGGGCGCGCTCATTGGCCCGACGCGCGCGACCCAACTCCGGGAGATCGGCCTGAGCGCCAAGTCTGTAAACTCCGGCCAGCTGGAGCCGACGGCCCCGCGCAGGTTGGGAACCCGGGCGCGGCGCTCCCGCCCTCAGGGTGAGCGGAGCTGGAGAGATTTGGGACCTGCCGGGGAAGCCTGTTCCCAGTGAGCGTTCGAAGCGAGCAGTGTTTGCTCAGGGTGCACCGATTCGTTCCTGGGCGCGACCCCCTGCGCCTCTTTCTCGCCGCCAGCCTCACCCCAGCCAGCAGCTGCGTGCGTGGCTGGAGGCCCGGCAGTGTGAAATGACCGCGGCCAAATTTCACTCCTCGCCATGCCCTGAGCCCCGCAAAATCCGCTGGACCGCAGAGCTGGAGCTGAAGAGCAAGTGCAGCTCCGAACCCACGGCAGGCGGAGACCACTTGACATTTGCAGTAACATACCCAGGCTGCGAGGCGGAGGATGGAGGCAGTGGGAAGAGCCAGGAAGGCAGGTCTTAGGAAGTGGTAATCCAGTTATGCGTTTCGGTGGAAAAAAGTCCAGAGCATAATACTGCCACCCTCTGCCCAACCCTTTCCCCAGGTAAAACCCCTGCAGCCCTCTCGGGCCGTATTGGTTTTTCTCTTCCTTGTTGTAAACAGTGTTTGATTCCTCTGGATATTTCAATCTAGAGCCTCAGAGTGGAAGTGGGGCATATTCCCCCTCTCCTCTCCTCTGAGCAGCGCGGAGGCGGCAGGGCGGGAACCAGGGTGACCAGAGAAGGTCCCCGGGAAGGTCTGGAGGAAGAACTGCGCAGGTACGATGGGGGATCTCGGAACCAGCTGCCCCACCTCCGCCCTGAACTTGGCCTGCAAGGCTACCTTCGTGAGGGCGGCCCACGCTCTGGCTATTTGTCCAACTTTGAGACTCCTCCACCTTCTGCTTGGATTTTTTACTCCTGGAGCATTTTTTCAGGCCTTCCCTGAATCACCCTGCCTCCGATCTTCCCAATAATCTATCCATCTCAGCATAAAAACAGTCTTACTAATTTTTTTTGTTAAACTTCCCTCCCCAGCCCCTCTATTTGGAAGGGCCTAGGATTACCTATTTTTGATTGACAGCTGCTAGACCTCAGAAAGTTTTTCTTAGTATATGTGCACTGGCTTGCCCAAGCTCAGGGTTCAAGTAGGCAAAAAAATAATTAGCGCCCACTCAAGGTGGAGATCGCTGCCGTGCTGTCTTCCTGCCTGGCTCAGCAGGGTGAATGAATTGAATATGAATTAATCAACCTGAACTTGGAAGTGTCCCTCCATGTCTATGCAGGTTGCCTCTGCGGGTTAGCATCTACTAATAAGGGCATGTCCTGGGTGTCACTGCTGACACTCATTTATTTTCCAGTTGGCAGTTCCTGTCCATGTACTTATTCACTTTATTAAAAAAATAATCAGTGCGTACTTTAGTGAAAATATTCATTTTTAGGTTCAAAGTGAAGTTCAACATGTTAATGCAATTTATGAGATCCGAGTTCCTGGTAGAGATAGAACCCTTAGGGTTTCTCTTAAGAAGTATATTTTAAAGGAAGACTAGAATGATATGCATATGAAATTTTTGCAGTGGTTATCTCTGCGTGTTGGGATAATGGATGGCTTTCTTGTTCTTTATACTTTACGGTATTTTTAAAAGAATATGTAATATTAATCATAAAACTTTAAAAAAATATGTTGACTACCAACATACAACACTCCTCAGGCATCGGAAGAGCAAAATATTAAATCTTCCTTCTGCTTTTCCATTTGCATCTTATCAGTCTCCCAGGCCTGTCTTTGTGTCTCCTGGGATGGCTTCCAGATCCATCCCTCCCAGCATCCCTATTTCACTGCCAGACCTCATCATGCCTTACCAGCACTTCGGCAACAGGCTTTCACTGCTCTGATCTCCAGTCGGCCACACGCTACCCTCTTTATCTGAGAATCACTAATGTGATCATGTTACTTTCAAGCTTTAAATTCTTCAGTCCCTCAACCCTACTGTTAGGAAGTTCAAATGGAGCCTGGTTGGCAAGATGTTTCCTTCCCAATCTGTTTCCAGCCTTCCATGTTGGTCTCATCTTCTGTCCTCAGACTTCCTCAGGCAGGATGGTTCCGCTCCACATACGACTGTCTGTCTGTGGACCTTCACACACCCCTGTCTAAGATTTCACAGTGCTAGAATGCTGCCCTTCTCTTCCTTCTCAACTCTCTCCTGTCCCAACAGCATGTTCCTATCTTTGCTCTAAGGTTCACTTTAAATGCCACCTTTTTAAAAATCAAGTCTTCAAAACTGCCAGGGGCAGAATTAGCAACACCTTCTTTCTGTACATCAGTAGCAAACCTTTTTTTTTTTTTTTTTTTTTAACAGAGTCTCACTCTGTCGCCCAGGCTCAAGTGAAGTGGCACAATGAAGAAAACATATATTGTATTGATATTCCTAGAGTGCATGGTGAGAGGGACGCACTTTGTTTTTAAGTTTATGTTAAGCCCTCTCCTCCCCACCCCTGCCCAACATGGCAGAGTGCCAACCTCTTGTTCCCACTCCTACTGAGTCTGCCAGCTCACATTTTCTATGATTGGCCTCACCCTGCACCTTCCCCAACCTGCCCAGCTCTCAGTATAGATCTGTTTATTGATTATTTTAGTTTTTTAGTTTTTTTTTTGAGATGGAGCCTTGTTCTGTTGCCCAGGCTGGAGTACAATGGCATGATCTTGGCTCACTGCAACATCTGCCTCCCAGGTTCCAGTGATTCTCATGTCTCAGCCTCCTGAGTTGCTGGTGCCCAGCTAATTTTTGTATTTTTAGTAGAGACAGGGTTTTACCATTTTGGCCAGGCTGGGCTAGAACCCCTGACCTCAGGTGATCTGCCTGTCTTGGCCTCCCAAAGTGCTAGGACTACTGGCATAAGCCAACATATGCAGCCTTGCTTATTGATTATTTTTAAAGCAGTTCTTTCTGTTTTTTAAAATTAATACATATTTTTTATTTCAATAGCTCTGGAAGTACAAGTAGTCATTGGTTAGATGGGTGAATTTTATAGTGGTGAAGTCAGATTTTAGCACACCCATCATCCAAGTAGGAAAGAAAGACTTTAAATCAAGTGGTCCAATGGACAGTTTCAAATTGAGATATAGGCATGATAACACTGTTACATGTACATAAAGAAACCTGGTTCATTTTGAACATATGTCAATCACACTTCTTATCACATTGTGTTATCTGTTAATTTATTTATTGCAAGTTCTTTGTCTCATCATATGAATCTATGTACCCCCATGTAGAACACAGTGCCTAGCTTATAGTGGGTGCTCAGTAAATATTCTCAAATGAATAAATAGGTGAATGAATGAATGGGTGTTTGAAACCCCATGAGGCATTTAATTTCATGTGTTTACACGCAACTATTATCCAAAATTGAAAAGATGTTAGTTCTGTGTTTTAAAAATTGTTAGATTCGTGTCTCACCTTTCTTAACTCTAATTTGTTTTTTCCTGCACAAATTATCTAATGTCTTATTTAATTTCACACTTCAGAAATGTAGGTAATTATTATTTATATACTTGTAAATAATCTGTTACTGCTAGGAGGATTTTTTAAATTTTACTTTTAATATATAAAAATTGAAGGTTGAAAATGCAAAGCCAAAAGCACAGTACATAATAAAAAGTAAATAAATTGGACTTTCTAAAACTTAAAACATTTCCTCTGCAAACAACACAGTTATGAGAACGAAAAGACAAGCATAGACTGGGATAAAATATTTGCAAATCACATACCTCACATAGGACTTGTAGCTAATACATACAAATAACTCTCAAAACTCAACAATAAGAAAACAACCAATTGTTTTTAAATGGGCAAAAGATTTGAACAGACACTTTACCAAAGAAGATATATGGGTGACAGATAGCATATGAAATGATGCTCAATATCATTAGTCTGTAGTGAAACGCTAATTAAAACTGCAGTGAAAACTACTAGACACTTACTAGATTGGCAAAAAATAAAAAACCTGAGAATACTAAGTGTGGATGAGGCTGCAGAGCAACTGAAACTCTCAAACATATGTATTTTGCAGTGGTGAGAGTGCAAAATGTTATGTCCACACCAAAAATAGTTTTGCAGCTTTTATAAAGTTCAATTTACACCTAACCACATAACTCAATCATCCTACTCCTACATACAGACAAGACATATGTTGTTTTACTGCACTGCACTTCACTGCATTTCAAAGATACTGCATTTTTTTATAAATTGAAGGTTTGAAGCACCCCTGCATTGAACAAGTCTGTCAGTACTATTTTCCCAACAAATACGCTCACTTGCTGTCTCTGTGTCACATTTTGGTAATTCTCACAATATTTCAAACTTTTTCATTATTATTTTATTTATTATGGTGACCTGTGATCAATTATCTTTTTTGTTACTATTATAATTGTTTTGGGGGGGCATGAAGCATGCCCAAATAAGACAGCAAACTTAATAGATAAATACGTGTGTGTTCTGACTGCTACACCAACAAGCCATTCTCCATCTCTCTTTCCTCCAGCCTCCCTATTCCCTGAGATGCAACAGAGTTGAAAATAGGCGATTGGTAACCCTACAATGCCCTCTAAGTGTTCCAGTGAAAGGAAAAGTTGTATGTTTCCCACTTTTGATTTAAAGTGGGAAACATACAACTTTTCCTTTCACTGGAAGGAGTGAAGGAGGTAGTGAAGAAGGTATCAAAAGCTGAGATAGGCCAAAGCAAGTCCTCTTGCACCAGTTAGCCAGGTTGTAAATGGAAAAGTTCTTGAAAGAAATTTAAAATGCTACTCCAGTGAATACAAGAACGATAAGAAAGCAAAACAGTCTTATTGCTAATATGGAGAAAGATTCAGTGGTTCAGATTAAAGATAGCCAAAACATTCCCCTAAGCTGAAAGCTAATCCAGAGAAGTCCCTAACTGTCTTCACTTCTGTGAAGACTGAGAGAGGTGAAGAAACTGCAGGAAAAAAAATTGGAAGCTAACAGAGGTTGGTTTATGAAGTTGAAGAAAAGAAGGCATGCCCATAACATGAAAGTGCAAAGTGAAGCAGCAAGTGCTGATGGAGAAGCTGCAGCAAGTGACCCGGAAGATCTAGCTAAGATCATTGACGAAGGTGGCTACACTAAACAATGGAT